TATTTGATATACATGTTATTGATGTGTACTTTACTAGTGTTTATAACAACACCTCAATATTTGATACTGGTTCAGTTGCTAAGAGTAGTAACTCGAAACGGGAGCTGCAAAATAAACAGAGACTAGTTAAGGGCGAGGTGATGATGTGAGTTGGAAATGTTTCCAAGGTTGATAAGATCACCATCGGACACTCCCTTTACCTTCGGGGTTAGTGTTGAACCTAGAATAAATGTTATTTGGTGTTTCCGTAAAGCATAATATGATTGGATCATGTTTATTGCAATATGGTTATTCATTTAAGTCAAGGATAATTGTTATTATGTTTACATGAATAAAACCTTCTGAGGTCATACACCCAAGGTGAATGGTTTATTGAATCTCGATCGTAGTAATACACATATTCATAATATTGAAGCCAAAAGATACAAAGTTAATAATGATAGTGCAACTTATATGTGGCACTGTCGTTTAGGTCATATTGGTGTAAAGCACATGAAGAAACTCCATGCTGATGGGCTTTTGGAATCACTTGATTATGAATCATTTGATGCTTGCGAACCATGCCTCGTGGGGAAGATGACTAAAACTCCGTTCTCCGGAACAATGGAGTGAGAAACTGACTTATTGGAAATAATACATACTGATGTATGCGATCCGATGAGTGTTGAGGCTCGCGGCGGGTATCGTTATTTTATGATCTTCACAGATGATTTGAGCAGATATGGGTATATCTACTTGATGAAACATAAGTCTGAAACATTTGAAAAGTTCAAAAATATTCAGAGTGAAGTGGAAAATCATCATAACAAGAAGAAAAGGTCCATTTTACTCCCCTGAACAAAGTGGGTAGTTCACTTTACCCCTTGATCTATATTTTGGCTCCTTCTACACCCCAAACAAAACCAAACCGGGCAAAACACCCCCGGCTGATTTGTCTCCATTTGATGCTGATGTGGCACAGTCAAAGGGTGGTTTTGACCGTGGTGGGGCCTACTTGTCAGGTTGACTGTTAAACGCTGTCGTTCCCAGTTGCATTCTGGATTAGAAATCCCTTTCTTCTTCTCCCCCATGTTGCCGTCGATGGCTCCCTCGGGGCGGCGCTGAACTCCGACCAGCAACACTGGTCGGAGTGTTGGTGGTGGTGGTGGCGGCGGTGCAACCCGTGAATCTTCCCTGACATGTTCCTTCTCCCACAGCCGCTATCCTCCCCCGTCCTCAAACCCTAGGTCGACAGCTCTGTCGATGCGCCGGCGGCTGCTGCGGCCTGTGTGATTTCACGGCAGCTGCTGCGGTCTATCTGATTTCACGGCGGCACAGATGAAGTGAGGTGAGTCCCATCCCTCAAATCCCCTTCCCTTGGTGTACTTTCTCTGCTCTAGTTAGCTGCAGTATGTAGGTTCTAATTCAAGATTGAATGTTGTTTTAATCTGTAGGCTAAGCAATGGATAATCTAGATTGGTTAGGCATCCATTTTTTTTACAATGGCCAATTTGAGAAGTCAAACAAGCAATTGTCATATGTTGGTGGTAATATACAACTCACATCTGTTGAGAGGTACAATATATCCTTAGCTACTGTCAGGGAGCAGTTAGCAGATATAAAGATGGCCTACCATGGTGAAGAGCTAACAGAGAAGCACATGCTTTACTAGTTGTTTCCTGGAAAAAATGTTAGAGATGGGCTGAGACGACTGGACACTGATAGAAATGTGTTCTTCATGGATAGGTGTATTACATAATGTGGGGTTGTGGATGTGTATGTGAATTATGAAGATGATGTTGATGAAGATGGACAGAACAGTGTGTCTGATATTGGAGAGAAAGAGGAAGAGGAAACTAATGATGCAATTGAAGAAGAGAAGACAGAAGAGAAGAGTGATAGTGATTGGAAAGATGAGCATGACAATTGCTCTGCTGAGGATGACCTGGAGCATAGTTTAGAGTAAGATGGGGATGAGCCTGACAAGACTGAGTATGCTGTATAGGATGAATTGCAACCTGAAACTGGAAATGTTCCTTCAGTAGATGTTGCACCAGATGAAATAAGTGATGAATGTGAAGATCTTGATTGGTGCCCTAAAGATGAAGACAGTTCAGGTGAAGATGATGAGGCAGAGGAGCTCAGAAAGATCAGAATGAAGTTGCCACTTGATGAAGAGAAGGAAGCGAAAGAAAGTACAGCGCAGTTAATTCCTTTTGATGAAATGGATGAAGGAAATGACACTCCATATATGGACTCCAGTGAGGAATACAGTTATGATGAGGATGAGCATGGAAATTCAGTTAGTATGAAATCTAGATTTCCAAGATTTGATAGCAAGACTGCAATTCCAATATTCAGTTTGGGCATGACATTTAGGGGAAGAAGTCAGTTCAAGAGGGCACTGGTGAAGTATGGCCTTGCTATGAAGAGGCATATTTGCTTTGTAAAAGATGAGGCTGGTAGGATTAGGGCAAAATGTTCTTGGCCTAAGTGTCCTTGGTTGATTTATGGTGCAAAGAGGAGCTCAAATGATTGGTTTCAAGTCATAACACTTGTTGACAACCACATATGCCCACAGAGGAGAGACAACAGATTGGTTACTGCATCTAGAATTGCAGACAAGTATGAGAGAATTATGAAGGCAAATCCAGGATGGAAAGTGAAATGTATTAAGGCCACTGTCAGATTAGAGATGTTTGCAAATGTGCATGTTTCCAAGATAAAGAAAGCAAAAGCAATAGTCAGAAAGAGAGTTAGAGAAGCAATGCATGAATAATATGCCAGGGTGTTTGATTATCAGCTAGAAATATTGAGGAGCAATCCAGGAAGCACTGTGGCAGTTGTGCTTAATCTAAAAGAAACTGCACCAGAAGAGATTTGAGCTCCTAGGGAACAGAAATACCAGAAGAGATTTGGGGCTTGTGCAAAGTCTTCTAATAGAGTTCAATTCAATTTAAACAGGGCAAAGCTTGCTCAACTCACACCAGAAGGAGCAAGAGACATGATGCAGTTTGGGCTTGAACATTGGTGTAGAGCATGGTTCAAAGAAGGATCATTCTATGATTCAGTCGACAACAATATGTGTGAAAGTTTTAACAATTGGATAGTGGAATATAGAGGTCTTCCTATCATCAGTATGTTTGAAGCAATCAGAGCAAAGGTGATAGTAAGGATTCAAGTTAATAGAGTTATGTCTGCCAATTGGAATGGAACAATTTGTCCCCAAATCCTAAAAAAGGTGAACAAGTTGATACAACTTACTGACAAGTGTGAGACAATATGGAATGGAAAAGATGGATATGAGGTGAAGTTAGGACATCATGGATTCAAAGTTGACTTGCAAGCAGGAACATGTTCTTGTAGATACTGGCAATTGTCAGGAATTCCATGTGTTCATGCTCTAGCAGCTTCATAGTGTGGCATTGATGACATTGATTCACTTATTGCACCTTGCTACAGAATTGAAGCTTACAATAGGACATATGAACATGTGATGATGCCAATGGAGGGCATGCCTAGTTGGCCAATATCTCACAGACCTGGACCATTAGTTCCAAGCTATGTGCAAATGCCTGGGAGGCCCAGGACAGAGAGAATAAGAGGTGCAGATGAGCCTCCTAAGCATGCACACAAACTCTCCAAGATTGGAACTAAGATCAAGTGTAGTTATGTGGAAATCCTGGACACAACATGAGGAAATGCAATACTAACCCCAACAAGGGAAAGTACAAGAATAGGAAGAGGAAAAAAGAAACAAAAGTGTGTACAGATTTTTACATGTGTTTGATTTCTATATGTTTTGTACTTGTGAAATTGCAACAATGTGAAACACCTAACAACTGTTATTTCTGTATGTTATGTAGGAAAATCCTCCAAGGACATCTCAAAGAGTAGAAAATGAAACTGCTACAGCCTAGTCTTCACAACAGGTAGCTCAAACATCACAGCAAGCTGCGGGAGGGAGAGCCCAGTCTTCACAGCAAGCTACAGGAGGGACATGCCAGTCTTCACAGCAAGCTACAGGAGGGACAACACAACCTAGAAGGGGAAGGCCTCCACAAGCAAACAGAACACCTGGTGCTAGATCTAGTCAGAGAAGGAGAAAATCTACCAGGGTTAGCATGTTTGATGAACTGAGGGGTTAAGCAGGAAAATTCCTGTTGTTTAGAGCCTTCAAATTGTTAGTAGGTTGTTGGTGATGTGCTACTTGCATGAACTTGTGTTTGTTACTGTTAAGCTGCAGAATCTTTGTTTGATGAACGTGTGTTTGTTTCCTACTGTTAAGCTGCAGAATTTGTGTTTAGTTGCAAAATGCTACTGTTTACTATGTTCTCTTTTGAAAGAAATTCCCTTTTGATAGAAGCTTGGCAAAATATGTTCTCTTTTGGCACAAAGAAATTCTGGCACAAACAGAGAAGCTCACAATTGTACTATTTCACAAGACAACATAGTACCAACACATATTTGGCATAATTTTGGCACAAATTCAGTACACAACAAGCAGTACAGTTGCTTCACCACAACAACCAGCACAAAGTAGAACTGAACACACAGTACACCACTGTAGATTCTTAACACATAGTAAAACAAACCAAGTGCCAAAGTGCCAAATAACAGGATACAAACTCAAACTCCTTCGCACCATCAGTGCCGTCAATCTTGCCCAGCATAGTCTTGAAGATATGTGTGCGAGTCAGGTCCTTGCCTTCTCCTGGCAGCCACTCATTAGGTAGTCCTTCAACAAGCAAAGGACCACTATCGACAACCTCCTTCATGTGGCAAATGATAGGATACGGTAAATTGTTCTTCTTCCTCGACGACGATGGTCCGTAGTCACCCAATTCAAATTGCATTGCTTCATACTCATCCATGGACTCGGGTGGCTTGTTTGTCAGCTTCGACTTAGGTATCTCCACTTTCACCACCTTGCCAAGAAAGCAAGGATCACGAAGCCACGCCATTACCTCAAGCTCGCGGCGGCTTGCCGGCGGCAGGATCTCGATCAGCTCGCCACCCACCTACTTGAGAACATCTTTCACGGACGCCGTCGTCCAGGCCTGGTTAGGAAGGCCTTCAAAGCCGAGCTTGCTCTTGTACTTCAGAGCACCTGGCTGAGCACGAACCATTCTGCACCAACGCGAAAAGTGAATCCAACGCCGACAACACTTGATCTTCATTGATGAAAGGAGCACCTCAGAGCACTTATCCTCCGTTGAGAAGGTCAGCCATAGGTCGTGTGGTGGGCACGCGACCTCGATGACCACCTCGGACGGCACCACCCCGCAATGCTGCTGCAAGGTCGCCAGCATGGCTGCCGGCGTCACTGTCTGCTCGCCTTCTCCGATCGCAATTACCAAAAGCACGTACCGCCAGAAGCGCAGCTCCTGCACATCCATGGCCGGAGTGCGGGAGATCAAGACATGGCTCGCCTCTCGACGGAGCTCCGGCTCTCCCAGCCACCACACCTCCCGCGGGAACCGCCGTTCCAGCAAGCTACGGCTCACCTGGGCTGCTGCGACGACCGGGGCCGTGCCTCCATCGCCGGCAGTGCTCAAGGCGTCCGGCGACACGGTGCTGGAGCTCATGCTACCGCCTCCCATGGAGAATAGGTTTAGGGATTTGGACTGGGAAGTGGGGGATTTCTGATCCAGAACGCAACAGGGAACGACAGCTCTATAATAGTCCAACCTAACAAGTAGGCCCCACCATGGTCAAAACCGCCCTTTGACTGTGCCACATCAGCATCGAATGGAGACAAACTATCCGGGAGGTGTTTTGTCCGGTTTGGTTTTGTTTGGGGTGTAGAAGGTGCCAAAATATAGATCAGGGGGTAAAGCGAACCACCCACTTTGTTCAGGGGAGTAAAATGGACTTTTTTCTAACAAGAAAAATAAAGTTTCTATGATCTGATCATGGAGGAGAATATTTGAGTTACGAGTTTGGTCTTCATTTGAAACAATGCGGAACAGTTTCGCAACTCACGCCACCTAGAACACCGCAGCGTAATGGTGTGTCCGAACGCCATAACCGTACTTTATTAGATATGGTGCAATCTATGATGTCTCTTACCGATTTGTCACTATCGTTTTGGGTCATGCATTAGAGATAACTGCATTCACGTTAAATAGGGCACCATCTAAATCCGTTGAGACGACACCGTATGAAGTGTGGTTTAGCAAGAAACCTGAGCGATCGTTTCTTAAACTTTGGGGTTGCGATGCTTATGTGAAAAAATTTCAACCTGATAAGCTCGAACCCAAATCGGAGTAATGCGTCTTCATAGGATACCCAAAGGAAACTGTTGGGTACACCTTCTATCATAGATCGAAAGGCAAGATAATTTGTTGCTAAGAATGGATTCTTTCTAGAGAAGAAGTTTCTCTCGAAAGAAATGAGTGGGAGGAATGTAGAACTTGATGAGGTAATTGTACCTTCCGAATTGGAAAGTAGTTCATCACAGAAATCAGTTCCAGTGATTCCTACACCAATTAGTGAGGAAGCTAATGAGGATGATCATGAAACTTCAGATCAAGTAACTACTGAACCTCGTAGGTCAACCAGAGTACGGTCTGCGCCAGAGTGGTACGGTATTCCTGTTCCGGAAGTCATGTTACTAGACCATGACAAACCTACGAACTATGAGGAAGCAATGATGAGCCCAGATTCCGCGAAATGGCTTGAGGCCATGAAATCTGAGATGAGATCCATGTATGAGAACAAAGTATGGACTTTGATTGACTTGCCCGATGATCGATGAGTCATTGAGAATAAATGGATCTTCAAGAGGAAGACGGGCACTGATAGTAGTGTTACTATCTACAAAGCTCGAATTGTCGCAAAAAAGTTTTCGACAAGTTCAAGGTGTTGACTACGATGAGATTTTCTCACTCGTATCGATGCTTGAAAGTCTGTCCGAATCATGTTAGCAGTTGTCGCATTTTATGAAATCTGGCAAATGGATGTCAAAACTGCATTCCTTAATGGATTTCTTAAAGAAGAGTTGTATATGATGCAACCAGAAGGTTTTGTCGATCCTAAAGGTGCTAACAAAGTGAGCAAGCTCCAGCGATCCATCTATGGACTAGTGCAAGCATCTCGGAGTTGGAATATATGCTTTGATAAAGTGATCAAAGCATATGGTTTTATACAGACTTGCGATGAAGCCTGTATTTACAACAAAGTGAATGGGAGCACTACAACATTTCTGATAAGTATATGTGAATGACATATTGTTGATCAGAAATAATGTAGAATTTTTTGGAAAGAATAAAGGAATGTTTGAAAGGAGTTTTTCAAAGAAAGACCTCGGTGAAGCTACTTACATATTGAGCATCAAGATCTATAGAGATAGATCAAGGCGTTTGATATATTTTCAATGAGTACATACCTTGACAAGATTTTGAAGTAGTTCAAAATGGAAGATTCAAAGAAGGAGTTCTTGCCTGTGTTGCAAGGTGTGAAGTTGAGTAAAGACTCAAAACCCGACCACGGCAGAAAATAGAAAGAGAATGAAAAGTCATTCCCTATGCCTCAGTCATAGGTTCTACAAAGTATGTTATGTTGTGTATCAGACCTATTGTGTACCTCACCATAAGTTTGGCAAGAGGGTACAATAGTGATCCAGGAGTGGATCACTGGACAACGGTCAAAAATATCCTTAATGGAATAAGGAAATGTTTCTCGGTTATGGAGGTGACAAAGAGTTCGTCGTAAAGAGTTACGTCGATGCAAGATTTGAACCGATCTGGATGACTCTAAGTCTCGATCTAGATATATATTGAAAGTGGGAGCAATTAGCTAGAGTAGCTCTGTGCAAAGCATTGTAGACATAGAAAAATTGCAAAATACATATGGCTTTGAATGTGGCAGACCCGTTGACTAAATTTCTCTCACAAGCAAAACATGATCACTCTTTGGGTGTTAATCACATAGCGATGTGAACTAGATTATTGACTCTAGTAAACCCTTTGCGTGTTAGTCACATGGAGATGTGAACTAATCACATAAAGATGTGAACTATTGGTGTTAAATCACATGACGATGTGAACTAGATTATTGACTCTAGTGCAAGTGGGAGACTGAAGGAAATATGCCCTAGAGGCAATAATAAAGTTGTTATTTATATTTCCTTATATCATGATAAATATTTATTATTCATGCTAGAATTGTATTAACCGGAAACTTGGTACATGTGTGAATACATAGTCAAACAGAGTGTCCCTAGTATGCCTCTACTTGACTAGCTCGTTAATCAAAGATGGTTAAGTTTCCTAGCCATGGACATATGTTGTCATTTGGTGAACGAGATCATATCATTAGAGAATGATGTGATGGACAATATCAATCCGTTAGCTTAGCATAATGATCGTTCAGTTTTATTGCTACTGCTTTCTTCATGACTTATACATGTTCCTCTGACTATGAGATTATGCAACTCCCGAATACCGGATGAACACCTTGTGTGCTATCAAATGTCACAATGTAATTGGGTGATTATAAAGATGCTCTACAGGTGTCTCCAATGGTGTTTGTTGAGTTGGCATAGATCGAGATTAGGATTTGTCACTCCATCTATCGAAGAGGTATCTCTAGGCCCTCTCGGTAATGTACATAACTATAAGCCTTGCAAGCAATGTAGCTAATGAGTTAGTTACGGGATGTAGCATTATAGAACGAGTTAAGAGACTTGCCGGTAACGAGATTGAACTAGGTATTGAGATACCGATGATCAAATCTCGGGCAAGTAACATACCGATGACAAAGGGAACAACGTATATCATTATGCGGTTTGATCGATAAAGATCTTCGTAGAATATGTAGGAACCAATATGAGCATCCAGGTTCCACTATTGGTTATTGACCGGAGACGTGTCTCGGTCATGTCTACATAGTTCTCGAACCCGTAGGGTCCGCACACTTAACGTTCGGTGACGATCGTATTATGAGTTTATGTGTTTTTGATGTACCGAATGTAGTTCGGAGTCCCGAATATGATCACGGACATAACGAGGAGTCTCGAAATGGTCGAGACATAAAGATCGATATATTGGACGGCTATATTTGGACATCGGAATGGTTCCGGGTGAGATCGGGCATTTACCGTTGTACCGGGAGGTTACCGGAACCCCCCGGGAGGTATATGTGCCTTATTGGGACATAGTGGGAGAGAGGAGAAGGGAGCAAAGGAGGGGGCGCGCCCCCCAAGCCCAATCCGAATTGGGAAGGAGGCTGCCCCCCTTTCCTTCCTCCTTCCTTCCCCTTCCTTCTGTCCTAATCCAACTAGGGAGGGGGGGAATCCTACTCCCGGTGGGAGTAGGACTCCCCTTGGGGCGCGCCTAGGAGGCTGGCCCCCTCCCCTCCTCCACTCCTTTATATACGGGGGAGGGGGCACCCTATCGACACACAAGTTTTGCATTGATCTCTTAGCCGTGTGCGGTGCCCCCCTCCACCATAATTCACCTCGGTCATATCGTAGCGGTGCTTAGGCGAAGCCCTGTTCCGGTAGCATCATCATCACCGTCATCACGCCGTCATGCTGACGAAGCTCTCCCTCGACACTCTACTGGATCGTGAGTTCGTGGGACGTCACCGAGCCGAATGTGTGCAGATCGCGAAGGTGTCGTACCTTCGATGCTAGGATCGGTCGATCATGAAGACATACGACTACATCAACCGCGTTATCATAACGCTTCCGCTTACGGTCTACGAGGGTACGTAGACAACACTCCTCCCTCTCGTTGCTATGCATCACCATGATCTTGTGTGTGCGTAGGATTTTTTTGAAATTACTGCGTTCCCCAACATATATAGCCTCCACATAAAATCTATCCGTTACACACATTTGACCCAACTCGGTCAGACCGAATAGAAGAACTAGGTGAGACCGATTCAGTTCAAAATGTGAACGTTAGTAATCTCGATGGGACCGACTGGAACAACTCGGTGGGACCGATGTGCTAGGGCTAGGAAAAAACCTCATCTCGGTGAAGCCTATTGCTTGAACTCGGTGAGACAGATTTCAGCAAAGAGCAAACAGAGAGTTGGTCAAGCAAACTCAATGGGACGGATCGCTCATTTCGGTGAGACAAAATGTTACAAAGGGAAACAGAGAGTTTGCAAGGCCATCTCGGTGAGATCGAGATCCGTATCGGTGTGATTGAAGTGTTAGGGTTTCTGGCAGTGGTTAGGTCAAGTGAACTCGGTGGCACCGGATATATCAAATTGGTGGGCGCGAGTTCGACTTTGAGTTTTGGACATATGTGGAAATGAGACAATGGTTGAGGGCTTTGGAGCAATATCACTAAGCACTTTGAGCAAGTAGACCATTAAGCAACACCTCATCTCTTTTTAATAGTATTGGCTTTCCTATGGACTCAATGTGATCTTGGATCACTAAAATATAAATGAAGAGTCTTGAGCTTTTGCCAATATGTGTTCTTAGCATTTTGAGGGGTCCACATCTCTAGTCCATGCCATGCCAATCATTGAACTTTCTAAAATATTTAACTTGAATAGATATTAGTTCAATGAGCTATATGTTATTATGAATTACCAAAACCACCCGGGGATTAATTGCACTTTCAGATATCATCATGAAAACAATTGTTGAAGCACTCATAATCGAAATTACCATTGCGTGACATGACTGCATCCACGTTTACCTTTGCACAATCCACCTCGGGCGACAGCCGAGTGTCTTGGAGCTATATGAACATGTGATTTTGGGACTCGAGTATCAAGACCAGAAGCTTGGAGGGGACTCAGATATGCCACATGAAGTTTCGTCCCTTGCTGTCTGCCCCCATATTAGAAGTTCCACCGCGCTCATCAAGCCACTTTCTTCCTGTTTAGTTTGGTTCTCATGATCATGTGATAGGCCGGCCGCATGGTTAAATTCCCCGACTCTCCTCTTGTCATGCCAGAAGTCATCAGTTCTCCTAGTGCAAAGAGGGGTCTTTAAAATCTCTACTGCATCGAAAGGGGTAAACACGATCGAATCAGATTCTCATCCCATGTGGTTGTAGTAGCATCGATGGGCTGCACTACTCTTTTGGTGGGTCCTGGACTACGTAGGTGATTGGTTGCTTGAAACTATCCATAGGTATCCAGTTGTGACACCATATATTGGTGGTCCCCCCATCATCATTTCTTGGAATTATGCATTGAGCCAAGATACCATGGCCATCAGGAACCGCACACCAAATTTGAGAAGGGTGCGCGCCTAGCTCGGCCTTCAATAAGGAACGGCCCCGGAAGCATGCTGTCCCCAATCCTCCCAAAATTTCCGGTCCAGTCATGAATTCCCATGCTACCCGACTATGGCTTTCTTATCTTTGCTTGCTACCCCATCAGGATTGTCGAATAATGGAAATGACATTCTCACACAGACCCCTTGGTAGCCTGAAACACAACATCAAGTAGACTGGAATGGCATGCGCCCTTTATTTTATCAAAACCTCTTTACCAGCTTCTCATAGGAGCTTCTCCATGCATCCTTTTATTTTTTCCCACGTTCGGTCTCTCAAATACTTGAACATCCAGTTCTTCGAGTGGCCCACGTCAGTTGGCATCCCAAATATTGGCCGCTCAAAGATTCATCATAAACCTGCTTATTTCTTACCAGACCCGGACACGTGCGCTTTTTTTTTTTTTGGAATTTCATTGCTTTTTTTTTTTGAGAAAGTGGAATTTTCATTGCTTGTACAAGTCGTGTGCCGCGCTCGCCTGGCCTAGTACTGGTAGCAGGCTAGCGGCTGGTGAGCCAGGCCCATATGTACAACGGTAACTTGCCCTAGCCCACGGCGGTCGGAGCTGGAGCAGTCAACGATCACATTTTTCGCTCAAAAGAAAAAAAGAAGAAGAGAAAAACCCGTCATTTCGCGGAAGCAAGGAACACGCGTCGCCCCGCTTCATTCGTGGGTCTGTCGGTCGGGGTCTGCAATTGCAAGCGTGTGACGGGTGACGGGTCGCTTGCTTCGCCACGAGGCTCAGCCAACCCAGCTTGACCCAATCAACTCGTCGCGCACGTCAACCATCCCAAAATCCCCAAATCCGCCGAGCTCTTGCTTCTTCTCCAGCCTTCCCTTTCCTTCCCACGCGAACAAAAGAATCCCAAAATCCCCATCCCCTTCCACGCGTGCTACGCCCTCAATCCCCAATTCCCCACGCGGCCGGCCTCCCCACCAGCTCCCCTCCCCCCAGCTCGGATCTCCGCCGCCAGCAGCCCCGCCATGGAGTGCGAGCCCGAGGAGCTGCAGTTCCTGGGCCCCGTCGGCATCTACCGGGAGTCGGTGGCCATCCTGCGCGCGCACCGCCCGCTCTACGCCCGCATCGCCGCCGCCTTCGTCCTCCCGCTCTCGGCCCTCTTCCTCGCCCACATCACCATCTCCCACGCCCTCTTCTCCACCATCAACTCCGACGACTCCGCCCTCGAGTCCTCCGCCCCCGGGACCGCCTCCCAGCAGCGGATCCTCCAGCGGCTCGGCGCCGACTGGGCCGCCCTCGTCCTCTTCAAGGCCGCATACCTCCTCGCGCTCCTCCTCTTCTCGCTCCTCTCCACCGCTGCCGCCGTCTTCTCCGTCGCCTCCGTCTACTCCGCCAAGCACGACGCGCTCACCTTCCCGCGGGTGCTCTCCGTCGTGCCCCGCGTCTGGCGCCGCCTCGCGGCCACCTTCCTCTCCGCCTTCGCGCTGCTCTTCGCCTACCACTTCGTCTTCGCCGTCGTCTTCATCGCGCTCCTCGTCGCCGTCGACAATGGCTCCACCCTCGCCGGGCTCCTCGCCTTCGTCGTCATCGTCGCCTACCTGGTCGGGCTCGTCTACCTTAGCGTCGTCTGGCACCTCGCCAGCGTCGTCTCCGTGCTCGAGGACTACAAGGGGTTCCAGGCCATGCGCAAGAGCAAGGCGCTCATCCAGGGGAAGCTCTGGACCGTCGTGATCATCTTCGTCACGCTCAACATCGTCTTCGTCGTCGTGGAGTTCGCCTTCCGCGCCTGGATCGTCCAGGGCGCGCGCCACGGTCTCGGCGCGGGAGGGAGGCTGCTCCTTGGCCTCGTCATCCTGGCTGCGCTGTGCTCGGTCGTCATGGTGGCGCTGGTGGTGCAGACGGTGGTGTACCTGGTGTGCAAGAGCTACCACCACGAGAGCATCGACAAGAGCAACATCTCCGACCACCTCGAGGTCTACCTCGGCGACTACGTCCCGCTCAAGGCCAGCGACGTGCAGATGCAGCACTTCGGCGACGAGGTCTGACCCTCCCAAAGATCGACCTGCTTCTGTTTGCTCTCCTCTCTGTAATACCACTACTAGTCTAGTCACACAGGAATCACAATTCCATTGCTGGTCATTTACCCAAAACAAAATGAGATGGAAGGAACCTGAAGAGAAGTAGGATCATTTGATCAGCAGTTTCTCAGTAATTATACTCAGCTTTGCTATGACACGAGGAACAGTTGGATGTTGCTTGTAGTAATTTGTAATGGAGGCATGGGATTGGTACTACACTACTACTACATGCTAGCTTGATCGCTTGTGTGTGCACTGAAATGAATGAGGACATGTTGTGTTAATTATGGATAGTACTAGATCACTGCACCACTCGGATCATCGTTTGAAGATTCTGCAATTAATTAATTGCACTTCCTTGTGATTATGAGTGAGCTGAATGTAGGCTATGAGATGAATTGAGATTACACAATCTGGAGAGTTTACTGGGTTTTGGTCTTTACACTATCTGAGTAATTAAGCATGCCGTAGAGTTATTCATTTTGCCATGCAAATGACAGTTGGGTTGACTAAAGAGTAGCAACTTTATAAGCTGCTATGTGCCCCTTTTGCTGCTTAGTGCTGAAGCTCCATAAAGCGCCATAACTCTACAAGATATGAGATGAGTGATCCACAGAGGGAGGCCACATGTTCGCTGCTCATGGTCACGATGTTGAATCAGTAGCCTTCGGCTAGCGAAACACTTAGCACATGTGCATCCAACCAGACTGCTAGGATAAAAGTTGACATGGAGCAAACATGATACTACTAAGTCATTCGCAGAGCAGGAAAGAGGAACGGAGATAGTTTTTGCAAAATGCAAATATGAGTGGAGAAGGAAGCGAGAAAAAAGTGGGTTTCAGAGACGTTGGGAGCTTATTCCTCGCTTGTGCTCTGTCCTATGAATCCCGAGATTGCCGTTGCCCGTCTTGGAGGGGAAAAGGGGAAATCAACAAGAACAGCAAGACTCAAACAAACCTAGGTCACACATCTATTAGAATAGCAACATGAGATCCACAAGCATACAAGAACAATCAAGGGAAAATAGCACAAGGGTAAAGTTCTTCCCACTCCATAGGAGGTGAGGTCTTGATGATAGCCTTCTCCACAAGAGGTCTTGATATCCACTAGGGATCTTCTCCTAGAAGGTCTTGATCCCTAAAGGAGTGGTAGATAAGCAAAGCCCTCTATAATATCTCAATATACTTTGCTAGCCCTAGCTAGGAGGAGGTGAGGGTCTATATATAGTGTGCTACGAGATAAGAGAGGAAGGGAGGGGGTACATGGGCCTCTGGCCCGGTTAAGCACGCGCGGGTGCCGGATGTCCGGGCTGGGGGCGGGATGTTTGGGGCTTCGCGGGGCGCCGAATGTCCAGAGTCGGGGCCGGATGTCCGGCATAGGCGCTTGTCGTGGTACTGGTAATCGGGAGTTGGATGTCCGGGGCTGTCTGGTCGGATGTCCGAGGTGGGGCCGGTTGTCCGGCTCCTGGAGTCCTTCAGGAGCTGCTCTGGTGTTGCTGCTGCGGTCTTCAAGCGCTGGATACCCGGGCCAGGGCCTAGATGTCCGGCTGCTGTAGCATTTCAGCGGCCTCCTTCGTCGTGCTTCTTTGTTCGTGTACTTAGGGACTTGGTCTTCATTTCAAGCATCTCCGGAGTGGTCCTCCTGGTATCTAAGCACACATAGTATTCCAGATTAAGGTAGTAGCCATGTCTCACATGGATCATATGGAAGCTCATTAAGGAGAGATGTCACCTTGGTCTCGATAGCTCTTGCACGTGCTTGTGTCATCAGTCCATTTCTTGTGTCATTAGTCCACTTGGCATTTGGGGCGACGAAGGTAGGTCCATGGGGATGACCATAGGATGCTCCGCATCAACCCCCCCCCCCCTCGGGAAAGATCCGTCCTCATATCAAAATCCTCATCACCATGAAAGGGAGATAGGTCCTTAACGTTGAAGGTGTCACTCATGTTGTACTTGTGCTGTGGAATGTTGATCTTGCAGGCATTGTCGTTGTAGCATGCTAGCATCTTAAACGGTCCATCGACTCGTGGTAGTAGCTTGCACTTGCGCTCGTTCGGGAAGCTGTCTTTGCGTAGGTGTAGCCACACAAGATCTCCAGGGTTGAACACCATCGGGTGCTTGTTGATGTTGAGCTTGGTCGCGACTTTTGGCCTTTTACTGGCCCGTAAAGTAAAAGGGTTGAGACAAAATTGACATTTAATTCGGCCTGCTAGAGGCCCGCGGCCCATTTCCATTTATACGGCCCTATCGAGCTTTTGGCCTATTAACAGCCTGCTAAGAGCCGTTGTTTCGGTGGGCCACATCATTTGGGATCCACTTAATATTATTTTGACCAGCCTAGTTAAGGCCCGCTTTGACTACACATGTTTGTTCGTTTGTATGGCGTCTAGAAAATGTTCGGGCGTCTTGGACATACTATCGCCTCTATAAAACATACACTATATAATTAAAACACTAAGGCATAGAAATGTAGAATAATCCTGCACTATACAATAAAGAAGTTACAGCCGAATATACCCACTGTGCATTATAGTTCGCACCAGTGATAATGAAGTGTACACAAACAACAAATTACATACACTGGACAAATAAAGCTTATACATCATGGACACGCATCAATATAATTTACCATTTGAACTATAATCTCTTCAGAAAATAGGATTGGCCGGATTAAGATAGCACAAATTTCAGTCTGCAAAATCTCCAATTCCTTCGTGGTTACCTCAGTGTCTTGTTTCATTTTTTGACTCCTGCATCTAATACCTGCATATTCAGTCTCAACTTGTTGATTGTATGTTGAGAATCATGTACACGTTGTCTTGTCACCTCTAGTTGATACTTGAGAACATCAGTACATTCCAATTCCAATCTATAATCATTCGGTAACGACCATGCCACACTGCTCGCAGACCTTTGTGTTGATGTCACTTCATTCTGAAATGTTTTTGTAAGTACACAACTAGGGAAAAAATATAGTTACAACAGTGAAGCGAGCAAGACAGACTATTTTGTATATGGCAAAACATGATTAACAATAATGTTACACGTCATGAAGGATAAGCAGGTGATATTTTTAAAAATTATAAAAATGGTAGTCTGTGCAGCCTGCATACAGAAATCTCTCTTAGCTCACCAGAGTAGCATGATATTGGGGCCAAATCCAAAACACAGACAAGTTACAAATTTAGACAACATGTTGCGTATAAGTAAGCAAGCAGTTGGGCATTCTCTAGCTCAATTAAAGTCTTAGGGAGCATAATGAACAACAGAGCGATTCATACAAACCTAATACAGTAAGCAAAACTATGCAATCATTAGCTTAGTATAAACTAGATTGTGAGCCTCATGCAGTAATAGGTTGTTAATAGACTTGAAAGCTTTAGGCACACTTCACCAGAGTAATTAAATGGTAAGGCCTTTAATTATGTCATCTAATAGTTATACAAGTATCCAACATCAGGCATCATTGTTTGGGCATCTCATTAACCAAGGACAAATAAAGCAATTGAAAAGAGCAAATTAACTACGCCTGAAACAAACAAGGAATTGAACTGTTGAGTTGGATACAGTGACTTACCTTAACTGGTTGAATAGGCTCAGCGCTGCTCCTACTTCTCTTGCAAGGCTCCTTCCTAACATCTTGTACTTGAAAATCCTCAATCTTATCTTTGTTGCACCCCCTCTGCAAGGTGACACAAACTAGTTACTCGTCTCCTTGGAAGATAAATATGCATACTTTCCAGTCTGTGAACAACACAAAAGGATGAGATTATAACAAAACAACACCACATAATAAAACATGCCACATCTCTTGCACTTGCACACAATGAAATGAGCATTTGCTATGTGTGCATTATGTAAAAACTAGGCATACCTTCGAACTGGATCTCCAGGTACTCTTGAAGAGCCTACTTTAGTGTACAGCCAAACCTTTATGTCACCTATGAGTTAGACAAGGCCCCACTACAGCAGCCCTTAGTGTTTAAATCGTTGACAAGCTTTGTTAGAGTGTTAGGTCAAGAAAAACAAGTAATCAAAGAAAAAGGTCCTGGTATGGCTGGCTGATGCAAACAAGCAATTAAACAGATGTGTGAGCAAATCTTACATACTCCCTCCTTCCATCTATATAGGGCCTAATAGTTTTTCGAGGCTAACTTTGACCAAGTGTTATAGCAATAATATATGACATGCAAGTTACACAAAGCATACCATCAAATTCGTACGTGAAAGGAGCTTCCAATCGTATAATTTCCACATTATACATCTCATGTATTATTAGTCTTATCAAAGTTAAAGGCGGTCTCGAAAAACACATTAGGCCCTATATAGATGGAAGGAGGGAGTATCAAGAAAAGAAGCAAAGAAGGAGGCTTAAAGACCATCACTCGACTGACCAGATTTAAGGGGCATTTAAACATCATGTGCAACATATGAACTAACATAAACATTGCATATTCCAGATTCTACAATGGAATGCACATGTATTAGGTTATGCCATGTATGATGATGCCTAAATGTATACTATAGCAGGCAGGAGTGATTCATCATTGCACGCACAATTGAACTGCAAGTTAAGGGTCAGTTCTATTCTGCCTTTTCAGAGCTTATTGTCAAAATAAGCCATAAAAGATGTAACGAAGTCATTTTTTGAGTTATGGGCCTGGGCTTAACTTATTTTGCTTTGGAGGGGGTTCGGGTAGAAGCTCACTAAAAATTGAAGGGAAGGGAAATAGTGAAATGACTCTGTTGTCTGCCTATATTACACTCAAAATGCAACTGCTCACGCCCGCGTCACGCCTGATCCTCAAGTAAAAACAAATACGCAAGCATTCATTGCCCTGCCCGCTTGCATCTCCTCTCCCCTTTCCCTCTACCTCGACCCCCTGCCTGCAGCGATAGGGTTCCTCCAGCGAGCCGTCGCCGCTGATCCCATCTGGCCTGGTCCTCGACGATGCTCTGTCCAGT